TCGTTCACTTGCGGATTTTAGGGCTTTGCGAAGATTGGTCACGGCTACCCTGGGAAGGCTAGGGTGTACCCAAGATGGTGACCATGTTACTTGAGTGGTTCGACGCATAACAGATGGTAAGGAATGGTTTAGAGGACGAACTCTAATTTAAGTGGGGGGAGAGTTTTAACACCCTGTTTTTTTATTAGATAAATAAATTAATTAATAAATGTAAGTCCCTGACTAATCTGTGAAGAATTTACAAGTTGGAGGTTAAAAGTGTAACATCCAGATTTAATTTGTAAGTATTATGGAAGGCAAGGACTAAATGATAATTATTGGGACTTCATTAAAGAGATTTTGGAGGCTTAGGGGCTGTTTGGTAAATCAGGTTTCAAACTTGAAGGGAATTTCCGAAGTTGGGGTAGAAAAGGTAAATTAGGGGTCTTGGTTTGAAAAGATTTTATAGGGAGGGACCATTCCTGCTAATATGGGGTGATGATTGTTATGGCAGCGGGTATATAGCTAATGCATTGTCCCAAAACCATAACCCTAAGCATCAGCCGCCTCCACCTCATTTCCCCCCACCCAGTGTCGTCGCTCCCTTCGTAGAGTCACCACCCCCGCTACTCTCCCTCCGGTGACGACCAGCGCTGCAAGGAAGCCTCCGAGGCCAGTGCACCTGTCGCATCTATTCCATCACTTTGTTGAAGACGTCGCCGCCATGCGACCTCCCTGTGATGATAGTAACCTCCAACCGCCGCCTGGCGTCTTGAGGGTGTTGTGCGGGTTGCGTCTTAGGTCATCACCGATGTATGATAGCATTTTTCGGAGCTCGTAAAGTAGGTTCATTCATGGGGTATGGAATCTGCCAAGTTAGAGTGGTGAAGAACCACCATGGCGGCCGGCTATGGTGGCTGTTGTTGTTAGCACCGTCGCTGAAGCTGTTGTTGTCACTAGTGTTGCAGTTTTCGTCGTCACATTCCACCTCATCTTCAGTCTCTTCGTCAACCACAACCCGCCATCGTTCTTGCCGCCACTGACGCTGATCGAAGCACAGTTGTTACCGGCCATCGCACCACTGCCACCTTCGACCACCGTAGGTGGTAGTTTTGGATCCATTTCTCGAGCATAGTAGAGTATTTTGCTTAGTGTATGTTGTGTATGTGTGCCATGCTTGCTTGGAAAAGTGAGAAGAAAGGTCACCACCACTGTGAGGTGGTGGCTGCCGCCACAAGCCACCGCCGGCCACCATGGTGTAGATGTGTGTGCATGTTAGTTAGTGTGTGTGTGTGTGTAACATTTAGAATAAAGCCTTGTAACTGTAATTGTAACCACCACCGTAAGGTGGTGGCTGCCGCATGAGCCGCTATTGACCACCACTACCCAAGGTGGTAGCGGGTGGTGCCCCGCTAGCAAACCCTAATGGGCTTAGAGATTGGTTTTGGGTCTATTAGGCCATGTTTGGGTGGAAAACCCTAATTATGAGTATTGGGCCTTAGACTTATTGGGCCCACTTGTGGGCCATTGGGATTGGATTGTGAATTAAGCCCAAACTATTCCATGCCATTTATCTAGTAGAGTAAAGGAATTAATGGATCAAGTTGTTAATGGACTAATTGAGAAAATCCTAATATTTGAGAATTTATCAGGACACACACGAGACTTATTTAATAAGTGAAATATTAAATAATAATCATTGGCAGAAATTAATCTAAGCAATAATGGACTTAATGGTTTAAGTCCTTAATGGATTAAGCCCTTAATGGGTTAAGTGAAAAACACTTAACCCTAATTATCATTTTATGTGAAACCCTAATTTCACTTGGGCTTTGTGTTGGGCCATCCAAGAATAATCAAATGGACTAGAGTAATTAGTTGGGCTCTAGGGTAAGGCCGATATGAAGGATTGGGCCTAATGTAGAAAATAAGGCCATAGATTGGGCCATAGTTTGGGCCTAGATGGTTGTATGATATTGGGCCCTTAGAATGAGACATGTTAGACTGGACTGGACAATTGGGCCTTAAGGGAAGCCATGTAGAGGTTTGGGCCCAAAACGGAAAATTGGGCCATATGTTGGGCTTTGATCCCTAGTTGACTTTGAGCCTATGGATTGACCCTTGGGCTTGGGTAAGCCAAGCCTGGGGTAATATAGTAATTATCCAAAGTATGTAATTAAAGTTATGTAATGGAACCCAATTATTAATTGGGTGTTATTTTGATGTTAACAGATCGGGAATCTGTCACCTAGCAGCTGGGGTCGAGTCTGCGGGACTTCAGTAGTGTGGGATTGAGTCTGTGGAACTTAAGTAGTGTGAGGTGAGTTTTCCTTCCAGTAGGAACGAGTCTAAGGCCACAATGCCAGCCTGTTTAGTTAGCAGTAGTTCCGGACCTCGGTTCGATGTAGTAGCTAGATTGCTTGATGTCTTTGTGATTTAAACATGATTTGTGTTATGTGTTTCGGACTTCGGTCTAATGCAGTATGCAGTATATGTGTTTATGCTAGTTAATATGTTTATGATATGTTATGTTATGCTCAATCAGTTTTCGGACATCGGTCCGATGCAGGGGACAAGATCCCAGTCAGTTCTGGATTTCGATCCGATGCAGTTAGTTCTGGACTTCGGTCCGATGCCGAGGACAAGGTCCCAGTCAGTTCCGGATTTCGGTACGATGCAGTTAGTTCCGAACTTCGGTCCGATGCAGGGGACAAGGTCCAGTCAGGTCCGGACTTCGGTCCGATGCAGTTTCCGGACTTCGATCCGATGCAGAAGGCAAGGCCCTGGTTAGTTCCGAACTTCGGTCCGATGCAGTTTCCGGATTTCAGTCTGATGCAGTGAGCAAGGCCCAGTATGTGCTTTATATGTTATTGTATGGTATGTGGTAGTTTGGGGGAGCTCACTAAGCTTCGTGCTTATAGTTTTCAGTTTTGGTTTCAGGTACTCAGTTTTCAAAAGAGGAATTCGAGAAGATTGCAGTGCACACACCATTTGTTCAGCCTGGGATGTTTATACTCTGATATATTTGACAGTTGTTATGATATTTTGAGATACATTGTTTATGATTCTTATATGACATTCGATGACTATGGTTTTATTACTAATTTAAAATGAAATTTTCAAACTGTACAAAAACTTATAATAAAAATACGTACTCGGAACCGGACGTTACAATTTGTCTATCATTATAGACAATTTCATCTATATTATCTATGGAATTCGAACCTGGACTCTATTTACGATTCAATATTTCTATACAATCAGCTCTTCTTATTTCTAATGATTTAAGTCTAGCCAGGTTTTTTTTATTTATATATTTTTATCACCACTTGATAGAGAAATTCCACATATTTTCACATCTACGATTTACATATACAACATCATTTACAACATACATCACTGTTAAAAGGAGAATTTGTTAGTATTTTTATGATTTTTAGTTATTTCGAGTAAAAAAAATAAATAAGAATTAGATTGCAAAAATATATAAGAAAGAGTATACAATAATGATGTATTTGCCGAATCAAATACTATGGTCTAATAATCTTGCATTATGATTAGTTAATTTTACTATTAGTTTGGAATTTTGTGAAAGAGTTCACTTTCCTATTTGATCCCTTCAAACCATCGGATGTATTCATTAAAAAAAATAGATTCAATACATTTCTTATATACCTATGGGTGTTTGGGTTTGAATCAAATTTCGGTCTATTGATTAAAAAGTATCAATTCAATACATTTCCTATATACCTATGGGTGTTGTGTTTGAATCAAATTCGAATCAATCTATATTTGATTATTTGCCTCCATTATGTTATTGCTAACAAATACCACTATTTTTAGTTTTGGCTCTTCTAAATCATTCCAGCAGGAGATCCGAACCCTTTTTTTCTAATCCTTCAAACAAAAAAAGAGAGACATCGAAGTCATTTTGATGATTCAAGAATTAGCAATTATTTTCCAAAATGATATGGTGTGTAAAATGTGGAATGAAATAGTTATTTACTTAAATTGTTTAGTTAATGCCTAAGAACATTAATCTTTCTACCTTTAAACAAAGGATTTCATATCCTGAGTAACAAAAACGATGAGGATTCATACATAAATTTATAATTGTTCTAATTTGATATTTTGAAACCTTCGTTTCTCAAAAATTGCAACAAATACAAATCCATGATGTCAGCATAGAGGGCCTTTAAAGATTTGCTTAATAATATTCTATCGATATCAGTAGTTTTACTTCGATATTTTTTGGTTGTCATTTTTCACAAACTTAAACTCAAAAGATTCAGTCATTACTTTGGAAATAATAATTTGTTATCATCATAGATAGATGTGAATCACATCTCCTTACATGTTGCAGTTCCTTCATATTTGAAGGATGAAGAAAAAAAAAATTATAGTCAAGTTGAAATCTAACCTATTCACTAGAAGTTAGATAAATTTTTAGCTTCAAATTCGATAACCCTTTTTTAATATATTTGAAATATCTAAATATGGTTCCCAAAAACATCTCATTTTGTTTTTTTGGGTTTATTAAGGAATAGCAATACAGTTCCATTTTGTTTTTTAGGGTTATATAGAAAATTTTGTTTGCAATATATATCAATTATTACCCTCCAAAAACTTACATTAATCTTTCAGTTCATAGTTTAACATAACCAAGTGGAATAACACAAATCACAAACATAATCCAAGCATCAATTTGAAAAGGATGAAGTAAAAAATTTTAATTATTAAAAACACTGATTTACCACAGATCAATGCCAAAACTATATTTCCATCCTCTTTCACACGCAAAGACAAAAAACTGAAGGCTTAATCCAAGAAACTCAATCATATATCTAGATAATGCCATAAAGATGATGCATAGCTATAGAAGGTTGAGAGATTTCTTGAAGAAAAAACAACAGGTATCCATCCATACATGATCAATATATAGTCTAACACAAAAATTTAAAGGCAACTTAACATCAAAAGCATAAAACTTTAGAGAAGACAATGAGATTACTTTAATTTGTTTAACGGTATGATTTCTGGAACCTAGCACGAGCACCACGTCCACCAAACTTCTTTGGCTCGCATCTTCTTGGATCAGCAACGAGAAGGGTTCTATCGTACCTCACAAGAATATCCTTAATCTCCTTCTTCTGCTCTTCGTCAACAAATTTCTGGTAGTAGGCTACAAGGGCTTTAGAAATGCTCTGACGAATAGCGTAAATCTGAGAGGTGTGACCACCACCTTTGACGCGAATCCTCATGTCAACGCCGGCGAATTTGTGGCGACCGAGAAGGAGGATTGGTTCGAACGCCTTGTAACGGAGGATCTCCGGCTGAACCAGTTCGATCGGAACTCCATTGATCTTGATTAGGCCACGGCCAGCTTTGCAGTGGGTGACGGCCACCGCTGTCTTCTTTCTGCCGAAGCATTGGACGGAATTGGGTGGAGCTGTGGCAGCCATTTTTGCAGAGAAACCTAGTTTGATCTCGGAACAGGAGAAAGATATTGGAGGCGAGATTTGGGAATGAGTAAGGGTTGTATTTGGTGCAATTAGGGTTTTTAAAATGAATATTGGGCCTCTTTAACTTCAAGGACCGGTTTATTTTTGGCCCATTTTGGCATTACTCAAACATATTTAGGAGAATAATTTATGTGTTTAGACTTTGGACTTTGGATATCTCTTTTTCGGAAATATCATGTAACAATGTATTATTAAACTTACGATAATTAATTAGATAAAAGTTTTTTTTTGGAACCGATATTTTTTTAACGACCAACTTTCATGTATTGACTAATCTCCGTGGAAAGCATATTACATAAAATGAACTTTAAGAATCTAGTGGTTGAATTAAGTTTTATTATTTGAAGTAGATTATCACTAAAAAAAAAAAAACATTATCAATAGATCATAAGCGTAACGATTGATCAATGTTTAAAATTAATTTATTAAATTAAAAACATAGATATTTTGCTAATAAGTTTATAATGATATGATTAATACTTCAAATTAATATGTACACATGTTTGAATGTCGGATAGATGTTTTGTATTTGTAGATATTTGATAAAATCATGATATTTAATTCTTTTCGAAATATTTAAAATTTGTTATCTTCGTAAAGACACCCCTCACCTGGTATAGCATAGCAAGGTTGCGATTATGCGTAAAAGAATGTTATAATTGGTTTATTGTATCTACCATTTTAAAAGTGATCTTTTATAACCTACAAAAAAAGTCACATAAATAAAAGGAGTAACATGCATTATTTATGCAATGATCGTGCGCCGGGGGGAGGGGGTGAGGGGGTTGGGTAGGTAAGATATGCATGGCACTAGAAAATCATATGATTGGCTCATAATTTTAGCATTGTACTGTGAAAATTCATTGTCATGACACAACATAAATATGTAGATATAGAAAATTACCTATTTAATTTGCAGGAGTGTTGTCTTCAAAGATGATAGGCAAATCAGAAGAGATTGAAAATAAAAACTTAAAATCCATTAAGAGCGGAAGAAAGAATCAGATACCTTTGTAATTTTTCTGTGAGCATTTGTTTAAATTTTGAAATTTGAAAATGCTATATATTAGCATATATTTTATGCAAACTAATAATCTAATTAATATGAGTAAATAAGAGATTTGTTTTATTTGATATACCTTCAAAATTAAACAGGTATGTTTAAATCATGTTTCAGTTAGAAAACCACGAAAGCAACCACCATAATATGGGGAAACAATGAAAAAAAATACATAAAACGCTCCAAAGCAGCCACAATCAAACGATTCATGTAATCTACATCGATGATGAAAACCTATTTGGTGATTATAGAATCTGTGAGGCTAGAGGTCTCTCTTATGCATCATTCCCCATGGTAGTAAGCATTCACCATTACTCAAATCTATAAAATTCCTTTGAAATAAAAATATGTAACACCCATTTTTTGGATGTTTACATTATCGGGATAGCGGGTTGTAAATGGATCGAGTAAAGGTATTGGGCTTCAAAGAAATAGAGTTTAAACCCTATAGGATGTTGATAATGTGGGTTAAGTGATTAAAGCTATCGAATTATGCTTCAAAGAAAAAGGGTAAAATGAGAAGAAAAAAAAAAAGTTATATTGTAACGCCTTATTCCACGTACGCATTTAATTGTAATTTGTTTATTTTTGTAGAGCCACTCGACGAGTTAGGAGCCCCAGACTCGTTGAGTAGAAGCGGGATTGGATGCGGGTTTTAAGCCATCCTACTCAATGAGTTGAAAACCCTCAACTCGGCGAGTAGGCCTACCAAAATGAAACCCTAATTTTGGGGTTTTGCACCTTATTTAAGCAACTTAATCCTTACTTTATGGCCTCATTTCCAGCCTCAAAGTCCCAAACCCTAATCCAAGAAACACTAGAGCATTCTGTGAGTGTATGAGCCATTTGTGATTAATATTGTGTGCTCTTGAAGCTTGAAGAAGAATATGGGGTTAGAAGGCTCAAGGAGAAGATAGTAAATCCAGAAACTTCCTTCCCTCCTCATCATTTTCTGGTAATCAAGTCTCCATCTTGGCTTTTAGTTCATTAGATCTTCTTATGTCCATTTATGGGGAGGTTTTGGTTCAAGAACCTTGATCCTTGGGACATGGACGTCCCAAGTAGTTTACCTTTCAGATCTGGGATCTAGAAGGGGTTCAATTGCATAAAGGTGCAAACTTTATGACCACGGAAGCCCCATGCAAGCTTAAGGACCTTTATAAGGCCTTTTAAGCCCAAACGGGCCCTGCATGGAAGTAAAGTCCAAGACTTTATGTGTTCATTAGGTGTTTAGAACGTGGATATGGGTTTTCATGCTTTAGGTTGGAGTAATAAGCCTTTTGGACAATGATCTATGTCCTAAAGAACTATGATTTGAGCTAAACCCATAAAGAAGGACTATATGCGGGTAAAGTTAGAAACTTTACCCTTAAGAAGGTATTTCCAGTACATAGAAGAGTTATGGTATTTGGATCTGAAGAGTATAGGATTAACCCATTAAGATGGCCTAAATAGACAGAGGAACTTGACGAGTTGAGTCGTGTTGTCCCGTTTTCTATGATGGTAGAATTCGTCGAGTCTGAGGGTAGTCAAGGAACTCGGCGAGTCAAGGGGTGACTCAACAAGTCAGATCGCGATTGCAGTGCACACACCATTTGATTAGCTTGGGATGTTTATACTTTGATATTTTGACACATGTTTCGATACAATATTTTTGATATGATGTTTGAGATACATGGCTTTTGATTTTATTACATTGTTTGATGAATTATGGGTTTTTCTTAAATGATTTAAAAAGAAATTTTTGGACTGTATTTTTAAGATGTTACAAGTTGGTATCAAAGCCTTGGTTTGAGGGATTTGGGCACACTCTCGAGTGTATCTGAACTCAAACTAAGGAATTAGTATAAAATTCTCCAAAAGAAAAACCATTATTATAAAAACAACTTTGAGAAAAAGGAAAAGAACTTTAAGAAAAGCAAAAAGAACTTTGAAAAATAGAAAAGGGAGTGGTGCATGCAATCAGCCGAGCTCAAGTAAGTACTCCCAAATTACCCATACAAGTTTATGTTATGATATGTTTATGAGAACTACATGCTAGATTAGAGCTAAGGATCTAGGTAGGATGCCTGATGGTCCTGCAATATGTGTATCAGCTCTATGAACTGCATGCTAGTACAAATTAGTAAGTATGATGGCCTGATTAGTATATGCTTGATTATGTTACTCAATGCTCGAATGTTGCTTGCTTTGTGCTTTTAGGTGTCTTAGTTATTTTTTTCTAACTAGTAAACGAATATGTTAAGTTACATATTGCAAGGATTAAATAATTTCATAAGGTTAAGTCTAGCTCTATTTCGCAACTCTTGTTTGAGTCCAACCGTTGTAGGGTAGGATCTCTCATTTGAAGAATTATCTAGTCTTAGTGATATGTAATGGTATTCGCGAGCTAGTTAGGGGGAGATAGTGTTGGATTGTGTGTCTAAGCCCATAAATTTTATTGGTATGTACTTGAACCGATTATGAGCATGGTCTTTTTGGGTTGCCTTCACTCATGTAACTTTATAGGATGACAAGTGGAGAGAGAGAGAGAGAGAGAGTAGAATTTATTAAATGAATAATTAATTAGTACTCAAAAAGATTTTATTAATATATTACAAGATTAATATATTATTGGGAAATCATATTATTTAATTAGTATTGATCAAAAATTAATTTGAAATTAGTTTGGTGATCAAAAGAGGTTTATTAAATAAAGGGGATTGATATTGAAATTAATTGTTAGTTGCTAGCTGGGCTATGGACTCCTAATAGAAGAGATTGGATGAAATCTATGGGAAGCCCATAAGAATTTCGTCCAAGGGGCCTTCTATAAGGGTTCCATGGATTGCTTAAGGCCTAAGCAAGGAAGTTCGGGTTTCCACCTTAAAACCCTAATAGCCTCAACTATAAATAAACCCCTTAACATGTGGAATTCGGCCTTATGCTTCTTTGAGTTTCCCTAGTCGAATTCTTCTTCTCTCCTAAGTCATCTTGTTGCATTGGGTGTTTGTGGCTCCATTAGAGGTGCAACACTTGGGGTACTAAGCTTTCAAAGGTCAATGTGTTCTTATTATTACTACATAACAAGTGAGGTAATGTTCCAAATCCTATTTTTCATATAATTTTCGAAATTAGTGTGCTAGGTATTAGGGTTTATGCTTTTAATGATTATTTGCATGTATAACTTAAGAAAAACCCAAATCCAAATTATTAGGGTTGCATGTTCACCATAGGATTGATGTAATGCTCAAACCCCATCAGATAGCAGGGACTTCTTGTGCAACTGATGGCGAAGAGTGGGATGGTGATTACCCTAGGGAAATCGTAGGATGAGATTAGCGCACGAAGCAGTAGTAGTAGTAGAAGGGACTTGGTGAACTCAAGTAGTTCTTAAGGAAAGTATGGATAGATGTGGAAGGTAGTATGGGCCCGTACTACTAAAAGGAGAGGATCCGTACTTAAATCAAGGAAGGATGAGATGGAACCTGGAAACTTGTAGAATGTGTGATCCCTCGAGTTATGATGAGTATTTCGATGTTTGCTGTGGTGTATTTTTTCAGTATGGTGACACAACACACTAGAACAGTCGGCAGTTCAGGTGTTGGTGAGGGATTAGGCTCAGGCTCAGGAGCCGGACAGCTAGACAACTAGACTAGGGAGTTCATCTCCTCTAAGATCATGCATAGTATCCTGGATCAGACTCTTGTGATCTTTTGCACGATCAAGGAGGGTATCTTGGAGCTTCTAGATGAGAGATTGAGTGCTTTTCGCACCAAGGTGGTGGACATGATGGGGTGACGCACACTGACATTTAGGGAGTTCAAAGCTTGTGGAGCTCCCTACTACCATGGGGATCGGGACCCCATTGTGAGCACTAGATGTTTGCCAGATGTCGCCA